TATCGTTTTTAATCAACAACATCTTTTCTTGTTCGAATTTATATTTTTATACTGTAAAAATATAAATATAATACAGACCATTGATAATGTAAATGAAAATGAAATATTTAAAAAATCTATTGTAAATTAAACCAATCTACACATTTCGAAGCCTAACTTTACTACGTTTGGTGGTCAACTTTATTTTTAACGTGGAGATAGTGTAATACACTCAACATTCGTAATGTTTCTTACACATCAAACTTATATTTTGTAATATAGCAAAACATGTGAACGTAATAAATCATACGAAAATTATGTTACAGTAAATGATGAAATGATAAAAAATCTATTGGAAATCAAACCAATATTAGAGATTTTTAAGCCAAAATTTACAATGTTTGGTCAAATTTATTACTGTATTAAACATGGAGATGTTCACACTCATCTACGTAATGTTTTTTCCTTTCATCAATATATATATATATATATATACAAATATATATATATATATATACAAATATATATATATATATATATATATATAAAAAACTGTACTACTGTACAAACTACTGTAATTATATAATACATATTTCAATGCAGAAGTTGTTCACTGTGCAACATTGTTGAACTAATCATTCGTATGTTCCGTAATTTTCATTTTATTTAAACCAATCTGATGGATAAAATCGTCTAATGAGAATTAAGTCGAACTGTTTGAATTATTACGACTTGAATTCGCCACAGGTCACAACAATGTCAAGTGTTGTTTACCAAACAATCGAACATTTCAAAAGAAGGAATTGTATTAACACTTGTATGACACAATGCCAAAAACACTCAATTTACGAGCTCGTATTGTATATGTGAAGTTATTATGAAAGAACTAAGACTTCCTCATATTTTTCGATGATACAAACGCGTAAACGAATAATACGGTAAAATATTTTCACTGATATGTGTCAGATTGTTCTTCTGTTACGTTTCAGTTATCTTTTATTCATTGCATGAGTTTTCCCCCTTCATTTCTCTATAGGCCTATTTTAGGATATTTTGAAACACAAATATACAGTACTTTCTTCAATAATGATATATTGACAATTTGTACTATGGAGATTCGTAGAACAGACTAGAAGAATTTTGGAGAAAAAAATGAATAAATCGCCTAAACATTCTAGCATTTACGATTAACACGATTACATATAATTAACCAACATTTTTTGGGTCGAAGAATTTTTAATCAAAATGGAATAGGCCTATTACAAAACATGAATGCATTTTGACTAAACTAAGACTCGAGGTATTACAATTATTAAAAATTGAAAGAGGAAGATATAAACGAAAGATTATGTAAGTTAAGCCAATTGAATGTCATTTGTAAGCCGTTGAAGATGAGCATCATTTTACCTCATCTTGCCCTTATTATTTGGATAGAACTAAATTTCTTTTTACCTTTATACAAGTAACCCGTCGAAATCTGAATTTTTAAAATTTAATATCCACCAAAAATATCGACCATAGTAACCAAGTTACGAAAACTTTACTCCTTTAAGCGTAGAAATGAATAGGCCTATTTAGATGCATTAATGTATCGTTATGTATACCTACATTGTACCGTATTGGACAATTAAGCTAAACACAGATATTTCGATAAGTTATATAGGCCTACATCAATCATTTGAAAACATAAACCAATGAAAGCAAATGCTTTTGACTTCATGGTATAAACAGGATTGAATTATTTTTTTAAACATTTTACTGTAATATTTTTCACCAATGACACTGTTTTTCATTTCAATCAAATTTGTTTTATTGTATTTACAAACGGATTAAACCTTAATACTATCTGGTTGAGTAATCATATTTTAATCAATAATGTTATTATATTTCGTGACATCCTTCCATCATTAACCTATCTCTTCTATATACCAAACTCAATCAATTCAGTTACTATTTAAATTCAATAATTGACTTAGAGCTTTCTGTAGATATTATTCTCCTGAAGACGATTGAAGCAACTCAATCGAAACATCGAGATATTCTCAACCAACAACAGTTCTTTTCAGAACTATCTACGTGGTTCTCCCTGATGTTACCATACCAAGGCAAGCATAAATACCATGATGAGTGTCCAAAAAATGACCAGACCATGCCCTTTAGTATGGATCAGAGTAAAATCTCATTTTTAAAAATATAAATCAGTACTTTTAATGATCAAGTCCTACTACGTGTGAAATGGCTATTCGATGCAGGTCGGTAGCAGCGTAGCGCCCAACACACCGTTTGTCAATACAGACTCTAATCCACATGCGCGACTTGTTAACACCCCATGAACAATATAATCATATTATCTGTAAAGATATTGATTGTGATGGGCGTGATGAGTTTAGTGGGTTGGCAATGATTACATGATAACTGGATATTATGAAGATGTAACGACTGAAATAGTATTATTATTATTATTATTAATTATTATTATTATTATTACTATTATTATTATTATTATTATTATAGGCCCAATTAGTATAATTATTATAATTTGTATAATTATTACTTATTTCCGGGCTTGCCCCACACAAGCATTTGAAATTTTTTGGCCATAGCCTCTTCAATAATTATTATCAATTTTCATCCATTGAATTGTTTACATTGTAATACATTGTACATTTTTTGTAGTTTATGAAGAAAATAAATGTTTACTGTATTTAAATGAATGTGAATGCCTGCGGCATGAATGTTACTACACTACAAAAATAATAATAACGTGATGGTAATGATGAATGATGATACAAACACAGCAATACATAATACTGTTAGAGGCCTATTTTTAGAATAAACATCATCAATTGTTGTTGCAAATGGTGCAATAAATATTGCAAATGAAATTTATTAGTTATACACGTTTTCGGGCGTAATGGAATGGAAATAGAGTTTCACGGTTTACGGTATTTAAGGTTCCATGACGGACGAAGTAAATGAAGGTATGCCTAGAGTCGGTTAGTAGTTTTGACTTCGGATGACGAGGTCCAATTGAATACATATTACAAATCTTCAATGATGCATGATGATATAACAATGATGATAATGATGACGACGACTACGATGATGATGATGATGATGATGATGATAATGATGATGATGATGCTGATGCTGATGATAAAAATGATAACAATGATGATATTATGAGAAGACGAAGGCGAAGATGATGATAGTATGATAACAAATAGAGATAATGATTAAGATAATCAATCAATCAATCAATCAATCAATCAACTTTTATTTCAGATATTATATCCATATAGCACACAAATAAGTATAAATATATAAGAAAAATAAAAATGTGTGCCTAAGTTATAAAAATACATTATACATTGCAATATTAACAGTGAAGCACCTTACACCATGTTAACCATAATCTAGAATGTTTTAAAAACATGTATATTTATGCACTTCACAAGTATATTATAATTTATAATGACGATGATAATGATGATGACTTAATATTACAGAAGGAAATAAATAAGGTAAACATTATAGCTATACAACCGAGTTAGAGGATAAATAAGGTATAGGATTTAATTTAGAAGTGTTACATACTTTCGGTAAATCAAAACATAAAGCATGCGCAACATTGTCGAAATTTAACCTTAATCGAAATCAAGATTGTCACTTGGAATCGTATAGGTAAATTACAATGTAATAATGCAATGTATAGGATTTGATAATGTCTGGTAATGTGTTAAACTTCGGAAAATATTGAATTAACCTTGCTCTCCCTGGATTCTATTATTGTTAATCAAATTATCCTATTTCTCAATCGTCTATTTCGAATTAGCACGTTATAACGTTCGCACTCCTGGGACTACAGGCAGTTTCGTAGTGGACTGAGTACTCGATAAGTTTTAACTGCCAACTAGTAAAAGTATTTTAATATACGGCGGTAGTAGATTAAGTTGTTATTTATAATAGCCTCATCGAATTAACGAATGGACATTGAACTTAACAACAAAAAAGAATACTGTATTTTAATTGTGACATTAAATGATCTATCAGGATTTTTAACCAATACTGGTAAGGTAACTAAACGAAACAGACTCAAAATGATACAGCAATGCATTGTTATACCCATACATGCCATTAAATTGTGTCTGCACTCAAAATGAAATAATACAAAAGTGAAGAATTAAAAAACTCTATTCAAAAATGTTGAGTTAGGCCTACTTGTAGAGTTGATTTTCAAATTGACGAATATCTAAAGCATTAGCTTAGGAATATTATGACTATTGATAATTTTGAATGGCAGTGAGTAGTGGCGAATTTAGGTGGTATTTTTTTTACTTGCAGTATGTTTAGTAAGTTGTTAAATTTTATATCGTTTGTTGCAAAATATCATTTAGTGAAAATTTATCACTCCGGTATAAAAATCCAATTTTAATTTTTTTTTTTTTTTATATAGTTGAAGGTTTTAAACTTAGTAGAATAATGAAAATGTAGTAAAGAAACATATATGAATGTATGTTATAATAAATAAAACTGAAATGGCTATATTAAATGAACTATTATCGTTGCTGTACAACTACTACTACATATTATTATTATTATTATTATTATTATTATTATTTATATTCATGAATATGGTATAAATACAAAATATGAATGAACTTTATACCGAATATTCTATTTAAAGCGAATGCATACTTATTTGTCCATAACGAATATTTTTAAACAAAGACACTAGTTAAGAATCGGATTGTGACAGACACAAGCAAATACTATACAATTTCAATATTATCGAATTTCCAATGACGAGTACTTTCTCTTTTAAAAAATAATAGGTATTACCACAAGAATATTACATGTAAACACGCCTACTTTGATCTCTTTATCTAACTTACCAGCCAATTAGAAGTTGTAACGTATCAAATGTGAATGCAATTGGTTAACGCGTTAGCAACCACCTGTCAATAAATTAAGAATGCGCAGGCGTGGACCGCGATCGATGCGGAGTTGAAAGGAAAAGTCTCGGTTAGCAGCTGGCTTTGAAATCGAGGGCGGGGATGCCTGCAAAAGCAAAAACGCACCAACTTAGCTTTTTGAAACCAGCCTAGCTCAGGTTCTTTTCTAAAGCAAACTTGTGCTCATTTGCATAATCACACCGTGATGTATATAAGTGATAAATCTAAATGTTGACCTGCACAATCTCTTCGGAGTTTACAAGAAAAGGTAGACCTAATCTGGAACCAAGTGTGTGATATATTCGGCTTTAATTTCATTAACTCGATAAGAGTACCCTTTCATACAGAGATGCCTAGATCATTTCTAGTCAAGAAAGTCGCAAGTAAAAAGGTTGTATATGCTGGTAGCAGAGACGTTGACATACAAAGTCGAATTGGAAGCGCGTTTACACCAGTAGCACCTCGTGCAAAAGGTAAACTAATATTTTTTCTTATGATTAAACTACACAATTCTTTTCGTACATACCTTTTTAGGCATAATGCAAAATTTCGTACCTGTATCAATGCATTAAATTATATGATAATTCATTTTTAATCTACCCTATATTTAATTTATAATGCATTTAAATTTCACTATATTATTATCTTAATTTTCGTTTGTTTTTATAATTATATAGGCTTTTTTTTTATGAATTAATGTTCGTTGTGCAATATACATGCAACATTTTGTAATATTAAAATAATAATAATAATAATAATAATAATAATAATAATAGTAATAATAATAATAATAATAGTAATAAAAATAATAAATAATAATAATAGATTTAATTAGGCCTATACTGTTTGTGATAAGCTAGTAAAATAATAAGTGAATGGGTATAACTAATTTATTATATTTTAATTGTTTCCTCGCAAGTAAACGCACCTTTTAACTTCTGAAATTCTCGTCAGTAAAAATGATCAGTGTTGATGTGTGCTATTTGAATAAGTAATTTAATATTTTTATTTATATTTTGGAGTGTTACTAGATTTAATACATTTAAAACGTTTTTAAGCATCACATCATCTTTATATTTTCATGCTAAATTGAATAATGAATAAAGTAATACTATCAAACTACAGTACATCTGCACAATCGTAAGCCAAATAAAATTTGTATTATTTTCCTAGAAATGTAATACAATTTTTCAGCATTATGAAACGAACTAATTGATAACATGTAGAACAAAAATACACAAATGTATCAGGCTATTCAAATATCACTTATCTAGAGTATTATCAGCCCAGATTGTAAATAATTCGGCAAGGATGTGTTTACACGTTATAGGTACCCACACGTTATGTCGCGTGTCGCTGCATGATAAGAATCCGCTGCATGATAAGAATCCGCTGGATGTACAATTCGACAATACTTTCCCCATAAAACAATCGCAAACTTATCGAAAAGATAACAGACATGCAGCTGGTAAAATGGTAGAACTGATTTTAGACGACTTATTTTCGTTATCTGTCTGCTACTGGCAGCTGTCGAAATAGCTAAAAAAAAGAGAGGAAATAAATATAATTGATTGTAGGCCTAAATCATCGGTTCTTCGTTGAGTGCAGATATACTTCTTGCAACCGCCTCCCTGGTTGAACCGAAGAATTAGTGTTGTACTACGCCTAAAATATTATGGTAGGGAAAATGTTTTAAATTTCGAAATTAAAGCACTTCACAATAGCACATTATTGATTAAATCTGTTTTATTATCTTACATGCTTAACATTTTCGCTATGTTTTTTAAAGCTAAGCCTAAGACCACCCATTTCAGATTGCTATTGATTCTTAACATATTTTAGGCCTACTCATTTTAAGAATTCTTTTTGACTACCCTTGTTTTGCTTGGGCGTGAAAACCTAAAAACAATGCGTGATTTTATCCTTATTTGTAGTTCTAACACCTATCAAGCAGAACAATACAATACAAGGCTTGTGTGGTTATCATTGTTCAAAGGCTTCTTGATTAGGTATTGTTGTGCACCATGGATGGTAGATGGTCTGTTGTGAAACAAATATAACGAGCCTAGCATTAAGCAAAATCTTCGCCGACTTTTGTCGTGATTGTTGCGCCGGTATTAACGCATCTTATCACTCTAAATAACCGAAGATTTTACTCCGTAAGATTTCTAGGAAGAGGATAGTTGGTGTTAACGAAAACATTCAGAGTGTTAACAAATTGACAGAAGCTAGACTCGAGTCGATACGGCGGTTCAATATGCTTTCATTATGTCTGTACAGACTATGGCTTAAATCACAGATCTACATATTAAAATCATTGTAACAATGTTTTACTCATTATGTTTCCATTCGAATTTTATATCCTTAGTTCAATTTTGTTAATTTCGTTTATAGCAATTTACATAGTGTTCCTGTTCATATTTTAAAAGTAGGCTTATCCTATCAAAAGTTAAATGAGATAGTGTGACGAAATTGTCAGCCGCCAATTTGACGGAGATCGTATATATAGCCAAATGATTTTCCATTGGGTAGTTCTGATTTTGTATATTTATAGGCCCACATAAGCGAATGTTTCGTTTAAAAACTGTATAGGCCCGTTCATGCGTGTTCCAGATGGCATAATCATAGGTATTATGCCTCTGTATTCTATATTTTGCTCTAGTCTGCTTGGGATTGTCGCGTGTCGCCTTCTATCTTGCCATTTAGTACGCTTGATCGTGTATTCATTTGGGCGGAAATTGTTTTTCTTTGATTTAGTTCATCAACTACCCTACATTTCCTTAAACACATGCGATGTTGATAGTTTTTCTAATTAAATAGGAATTAATTTGTATTTTACAGACGTAACACGTGACTATGAGCCGTGGGAAAGAGGAACATTCAGGCCCTATGAAGACCCTGCAGTACCCCCTAAACAGCTAAGCCCGACGCTAGTGATTTCTACTAAACTTGCACAACTCTCAGGAAAGTCAGTCGAGAGGCAAGCATCTCCCTCGCCAAGCCAAAGATGGCCTTCCGAAATCACATCCTACAATATCCCATCTCCACCGGCAAATGGTAAGTCAGTCAGTCTATTCGTGTTTCATTATTCGATGAATACAACACATTTTCTAGGGATAATATATGTACAGAAAATTAATAATTAATAATGGGAACAAACGTTGGTTCGAAATAGCTCAGTTTAAATGAACGAAAAGACTGCCGCCGTCCGCAATAAAGAAAAAAATGACTGGGAATCTTTATTACGAAATTAACTCGTGAATAACTCGTGAATATGCTTTTTGTTTGTTAAATTCAATTTAAGATTTATTGAACGTGAGCATACCTTCAACAATGGCAAGATAAAGTTATGAATAAATTACAACCTAGGTCTATATTCAATACTTTTCCAACTGTTCAAATTCTCACGCTTGTCTCACGCATGCGTGTTCTAGGAACATCATTCGATACCGTATGAATTAATAAGTGTAGATGTTGTTTATATAGTAAAGGAAAATCCATCTTGTGAGAACAATAATCGAAACGAAATCTGGCGGGAAAACAAACAATAAAAACTCGTATTTGCTAATGACAAATCAGTTAGGTCTAGAATTAATTATCATCCTTGATTAAGGTCATTATTTTATAAATCTTAATATTTTTCGTTTTAGGTGTTATTAGCCGTGAAATGATGGAACTTCTGAAGGATGGCAGTTTAAGTTACACCGACGTGTACCGTGCTCGTTTTGCACAACTTGAGGACATTTTAAGTTCTGTGTCGTCTGATGAATTAAATTGGTACAGGCAGTCATCGCTCAGCATACCGTCACCTTATACCACAGCTATGCTACCCAGAGATATCGCACTCACAGTACCGGCCCAGCAACGTTATTCCGCCGATTTAGACGAAATTAGCCCACTGACTCACAGACCAAGCGCGCATCATCAAGGCACTTTCAGGTGTTTAGACTGTACAAAAGTTTTTAGCACACCGCACGGACTTGAAGTGCACGTACGGCGGTCGCACAGCGGCAAACGGCCGTTTGCGTGCGAGATTTGCCACAAGACCTTTGGCCATGCCGTGAGTCTAAATCAACACAAGGCGGTACACAGTCAAGATAGGACATTCCAATGCAAGGAGTGTGGAAAAAGCTTCAAGCGTTCGTCAACTTTGTCAACGCACATGCTAATACACTCGGACACTAGACCGTATCCATGCGAATATTGTGGCAAGAGATTTCACCAGAAGTCGGACATGAAGAAACACACGTACATTCATACAGGTATGTTTATTTCAAAATATTTGTTACTCATATTTTGTTAAAATACTAGTTGCTATTCTTTTTAAAATAGTATATATAGGGCCTATGACACATAGCACACCTTACAATTATTCTTATTACGTGTTAATAAGTAAATTCATAATTCTTTGTTTCTATTTTAAATCATTGTAATATTAGGCCTATATATTACAATGTATGATTTACAATATTACATTGTTGTTCTTATTTACATTAATACATTATTTCGTTATTGTTACTGTTATTATTATTATTAGAAACATATGGGATGATTTATGATTAAAATATATTTAACTACTGGCATAGGCTTAACCTTAATATAAGGCAATTGCATTCTTGCAACATCACAACATACCGTACGCTTACTGGTAAATCAATAAATGTGTTAATATTCTTAAAAAATTAGCACATTTCGTTTTAATCCAATGCAATTTGTCACATCACCCAATCTTTGGATTCGAAAATTGACTATTTGCCATCTGTGTCGCTGTGGTCGCGCCAGTCGGTAGACAACACTATCATTTGCAATTTAATTAATACGTGAAGCTTGTCATTAGATTGTTAAGCTTTGGCCAATTAATTCCTATTGTACATAAATCTGCTCAACCAACAATCTGTTAAATTAAAATAATAGCGATGTCTCACCAATTATATGCAACTACATATCTGATTTAATAAAATTATATCTGGCAATCTGATTACATTTGAAAGGCTGTGTGAGCGACAGTTCGGGCGCTAATTTATTGTAAGCACGCGCAGTAAGGGTAATTACTGGGGAAATCGATGTATATCATAGGCTAGATTGAGATGAGGCCAATTCGGACGTGATAGCTTTTTTTTTACGAACTAATCGCTACGCAAGGAAGATTATTTGTCAATCAATTTAGTAATTTCATAGCGTGTGCCAAAACAAAATTACACAACCCGTATTTTTAATTAGGTAATGTATGTGCATGATTTTTATGTATTTTCATGGTTTATCTTAATGTTCTTTTTTTATTGTGCAGGAGAGAAGCCCCATAAATGTCTAGTCTGTGGTAAAGCGTTCAGCCAGTCGTCAAACCTAATCACACACAGTCGAAAACACACCGGTTACAAGCCGTTCGGTTGCAAGATCTGCGGAAGAGCATTTCAACGAAAAGTCGACCTTAGACGACATTTTGAGACCCAGCATCCCGACCAAGAGCGACCAGTGATAACTTCTAGGCCCCCTGCCATCACCACTATTAACGTTCCTGTTATAAACACTGATATCATGAAAGCCTAGCTGTCAAGAAAATTGTAAACAGAAACACAAGCAACATTCCAACCAAACAAAAGGCTATTGTAAAAATTCATAAATGTAAGCCATATTTTTTGTTAGGTCATTAAATTATATTTCTCAAATAACTTCGAATTTGATTCAAATTATTCATTTTAACGCTGAAACGAACTTATTGGAAGAAGCCTAATTTGGAATGTACATGTTTTACCTATGCAAACATTTAATTGAATTGGAATGAATTGATCGACTTAAGAGTCTATGAACCATTGTCTAATATCTATTCTAAGACGGTTGACTAAATACTTTGCATTCTCTTATAGAGGCTGATGGATAAGCAGATTATTTCATTTTTTATATCTTAATAATTATATCAACAATCAATTAATTAAATTAGTGTTAATATGTGTTGTAATTATTTAATTTAAAAGTCTGACTCGATATTGTAATATTTTTTGTTATAAAAGAATTGTATTATAAATAATTGTGAATATGCCTATAAACAGATGAAGAAAATATTGGAAGAATAAAATCAATCGAATATAAAAATTTTAATTGGTCTAGAGTTTGTTATTGAGATTTGATTATTAAGATAATGGTGCAACCGATTTGTGAGAGTGAAAGTGATTTGTGCCGGAGGCCGTATTAATAATTTAACAAAAAGTGTAAATTAACATAGTTGAAACCGAAACACGCAGAGTACTTGTTTAACAAATCGAAGTATAGTAATGTTTTCAATGCAGCTTAAATTGATTAACTTAATCAAAAATGTTTTAATAATTATACCGTAAAACCTCAAGCCAAAAAATAAAATGAAAACACGCTTGGTTTATACAGTAGTTTAGGTGATTTAATGCCGGGTAATAAACTTCATGATACATGTTGATGTAACAGTGGCCCTTATTGTTTTATAGTAGTAGTTCCCAAAATTTAGAGCATTCGTTTTGAAAGAAGCCTCCCCTCTTTACTTTGCAAAATTAGCCTCGAAAAAAAATCGATTCAATTCGAGGTTTTACGGTATACGACCAATTAGGCTATACAATATTAAACAGACACGTAATGTGTAATACACGTAATGTGTACTGCACAATGCCTATATGGATTTGATGAAATACAGTAAGATTCAAAACTTTCGTTGGTCTTCCTGAGCAAAACAAGCTAGCCATGCTTAAATGCCACCAGTGCATATCAACATACATACAAGATGGCATTACATCCTTGTTAAATTAGCACCATTATTTTACCAATGAAACATGTAAATTATTTAACAATAGGGGTATTGTTATTAACTCAGCAACGACGTTGCCACACAGAATCGAATGAAGCGGACGAGATTTGAACTCCCACTGAACAATCGAATAAATACATTCTGATTTCATGAACATGTACATTGCGGGTAGTTAACGTCAGGTTTATTATTGATTAGATATCTTACTTTTAGTCGAGGAAATCGTTAATTGAAATACCGATAAGAAATTGCAAAAAGTTCTACTTTGAACCAAACAACACCAATCTCTAGAGATATATTCACAGTAAATTTACATTTACAGTATTTAATACATACAAAGCAGCTAAATAAAAGCACATTAGGCCTATTATATATTGACTTGGAATACGTCCAGTTATCTCGTCGCTTAAAAAACGCGTGCAGATACATCTATTGAGTTTTCTTTCGTCTGCTAAAACAGAAAACCCCGACAGATAAAGTATCCAGTAAAAAATACAACCGTATAACATCCTTTTGATATCCAGTACAATTTAACTGTCGTACACTAAAAAAAAAAGGAAAAAAATCTGACAGGCGAGTTATCTATAATAAAGATGCAGACTGCGAAAATAAAACCCCGCTTAATAACAAATAACTAGTTTGAAATTTGTTAGACGAAAGGAGGTGTTAGAGAAGTGTTAGAATCCCGTACACTGTTCATTTATCGGTCGCTTAATTTTAGACAGCCTTTGGTTAATGATACATAATTACGGTGATGGTGTTAAAGAACTGGAGAGAAATTTCAAATCCGATTGTATTTCGTTTCGAACGTGGTAGTATATCCTTTTTGTATAACATTATATCTGAACACAAAGCCTAACATTGTCACAATAGCTACGATATCGTACTCAATTTAATGTTTTCCGCAATAATTTGTTGATCACAATTAGGCCTAACATTAGTAAATTTACCAGACTATCAAATTTCATTTGACAAAAACATGTGACATGCCTAAATATGGTCATGACGTGATGTCATCACACCACCACCATTATTTAAATTATAGGCACATCATGACCATATATGGGCACGCAACAGTTTTTTGTCAAAGAAAATTTGATAGTGTGGACAAAGCTTCAGGGATATCAATATTATATTTACTTGAATTTTTGGAAGAAGATTTTTATTTATTTATTTTTTTATTTTTTTTTTTGGGAAATAAATGAAACAAATAAAACAGCTCTGTATCCTTATAAGCTTGAAATATTCACTACTGTACAGACGCCTAAGTCTAAAAATATATTTTTTTTTAATGAGTGGCTTTCACTGTATTTATCAATAATTTATTAGCTTTCAGTCGAAAATTTTTATTTTAATGGACATTAACGGACGTCTATACTGAAACATTTCTGCTAGTGACTTTACTAATTTTCGTATTGAAACATCTGGAAATAAAAAAAGAGTATATATATATTTATTTATATATATATGCCTATATATACATAGGCCTATAATATTTATATACATATAATATATATATAAACATATATATATATGTATATATATATAGGCATATATGGCCTATACAAATAATAATAATAGGAAAAAAATTGAATATTTAGGTCTGACATTGACTGATACAACAATTCATTTACTAACGAAACATTATCAAAACTGTGCCCTTTAAAAATATGAGAACTCTATGAAATAAAGCCTTCTTATACATTTAGCATACGGGGGTAATATATCAAATGAGAAAAATACATTAAATTACGTTAGTTGTGGCTGTTTGTGGGGGAAAATCGAATCCATTAGTGGCAGTAAGGAAATAAAAGAAGAGATGGGATAAAGCTGATCACATGAAAATGATATTGCATTGATGAGGTACGAATTTGAATATGAAACCAGATGCGTGTAGACAAACGGGAATGTCAAATGACAGCACGCGACCAGTATGTGTAAGTTCAAAACTCCCTTAGCATGACTGATATATTTGTAGACGCTTCAACAGTATTCAAATTCACTGCAGCATAGGGGCTTGGGTGCACGACACAAGCTTATCATAACTGATGATTAAACATGCTATAAAAATACGTATACAATACATAAAAACGCATGAACAAATATATATACATGAATATGATATAATATAATATATCTTATATACTATATATAACCATTACTGTATATAGAACTTATGTTTGTATATAAAATAAATCATATATATAAAACAGTACAGTATATTTAAAGTATATAAGAGATTATATAATATATATAATTTATATAATATATATATATATTTTATATATATATATATATATATATATATTATATGCATAAAATTTAAATAAAACTACTGACCATTTCAACAATAATGTTTGAACATAAATTAAATTTCTAATTAAATAATCATTTGTAACATGAATTTATTCATTGGTATACAATATTATTTTACTTAAACGGAACATGAAAAATAAAACATAATTCAACAAATACACAAAGAACAATACTGTTATAGGTAGTTTACAATTTTATTGAGAACAAAGTAGAATACATTTCACTTTTCTTAAAAACACAGAATAGATAATTCATTAGACTTGATGGGTGCTTTTGTAATGAAGGTCAAGGCATCCATCATTTTTAAAAGGGTAAACATTTCATTACATGAAAATACACTGCGAAAATTTCATAAGAATATAGGCCAATATCATCGTTGATGCAAATAGTTGTTTAGGAGAAACTACAAACATTTGATATCAATACCCACAGAAACTTGGTCAACATATTGTGAAACAATAATAAGATCTAAACATTGTAATGCACTAGTTACCATGTTTCTATTTTCACTAAGTACTAAGTATTCTTACAGCAAGAATTTTTTTAAACCTTGTTTGCGAATTTTTTAAAGATCGTCAGAGAAGGGCGGAAAATAAAAATAAAATTTTGTTTTCTTATTTAGCAAATGATATTGCCAGAAACATCCAGGCGGAGAAGAAAACAAAAATAAAATGTTGTTGTTGAATGTAGACAGTGCAGTAATGGGATAATAAAATGCTTTAAATTTATATAATTAGGAAGAAATATACATACCTATTTTTTGAGATTTTAAGGCAGCGGCGGGCGCAATAATATTAAAGAAAAACTTTTATCTAATTTTGAAATTTCCCTTTTTCATGGTGGCGAATGCGCTAATTGGCCAAAAATAAAATTATATTTTTATTTAAAATCATCATTATTGGCAGGCGGTGGGTTCGCTAAACAAGGTATAAAAAAAACCTATTGTTTTTAAAAACATTGTCAGCATCAGCTCTTAAACTTTAATGATATTTATACACATCATAGTAAAATTTAATAAGTATAAGGTTATATATTTAAAAAAACATTCAATTGATGGTCAATCTATAAAATTGTCAAGAAAAATAATAAAAAAGAAATGAAAATACTGTACTAGCATGCTAACTCATGTATTCAAACCTAAAATATAAAAACTAAACTTCTGAGATTTTACTGAAGTGGAGTTGAATAAGCTTGGTGCCACCAGAAACGTGCCGACAAGGGATCCGACGTGTCCGACGGAGGAGGTCCGAACCAAGGCGACCACGGAGCCTCAGTCGACGGTCTGGAATAAAAAAAATCCTGTTAGGGTTCAGGGGGAGAGTTTTTATGGCTTAATTTGGTCCTATATGTGCTTTTAGACCACAATATTTGGGATTGGCAATCAAAATAGCATTATTTGGATAGGAAAATCATAATTCTTTTTTATTTTTGGTCCGACGACCTAGTCATTCATCAGACGACAGTAGGGGTCCAGGCCTGTCCGACAGATGGGCAAATGCCCACCCTCCTGTCTCTTATACACATCTAGATGTGTATAAGAGACAGATTTGATTGGCAATCAAAATAGCATTATTTGGATAGGAAAATCATAATTCTTTTTTATTTTTGGTCCGACGACCTAGTCATTCATCAGACGACAGTAGGGGTCCAGGCCTGTCCGACAGATGGGCAAATGCCCCCCCTCCCCCTGCCCCATCCCCCGCTGGTGCCACCACTGCTTGGTAGTTAAGATGATTGCCTTCTAATCCCTGGGTCTGGGGTTTAATTCCTTCTTTACAAATAAACACAAATTTCAGTCCTTAAGCCTCTTATTAGTTCATAAGGCATCATTCAGTCCTGTAATTGGTAATTTACTTGATGTTGGATGCAAAAGAAATTAGTATAAATGTACTGTTCCAATGCACCAACAACACACAACCATAAGTTCTGATAAGAATAATAATATAGCAGCCATTTGAATTTTTTAAATTGAAGCTGTTTGGGGGCACTAGATTTCTTGATATTCTGCTTTAAAATAAGAAACACAAAATACCACTGGAACCAATTCTGGTGCGGTGGTGCTCTTGTGTAACTGTGATGGCCATTTTTTGGCATGTAAAAAGACAGATGGACAAGAGAAAAAATTAAAATCTCCCACCTTTTGTTGTACTATTATCTTAATAATAACTCTGGGACTTAAGACTTGACGCCCATATAGATTGCTATTCACATGGCAATTCTTTTCTGATTGATGTTGGAGTTCCACAGGCAACTAGGTGAAAGTAGTAAACCACATTTTTTTATAATTAAAAAAAAAAAAAAAGACCAGTAATATTGGTAATTGAAAAATAATGTTTATATTGAACACACTGTCTGAACAAGATTCAGCAGTTTGATCTTAAAATAAACGAAACACTCTTTCATCATCTACGAAAACAGCTCTGTAAAAATTTTGGTAGATAGTTAAATATTGATTTCAATTATAACAATAATTATGATCATAGTGCGAGAAACTAAATGATAAATTTTACAGATTTTAATTTTATCAAATTGAAAATCCATTTACAGCTTCCTAGTAATAACAATCTTTAAAGGGTTGAGTAAAATTCCCTCAGCATTGGTTTGATATTGGCTGAGTAAAAAGATATATCGAACTTATTAATAAGATATGTATAGAGAAGTCATTAATAAAATATTTATAAAGCTGTTAATAAAAGATAAAGGGGTAAAGGTAGATCTTGAAGCAATCTTGGTTTGTGTGTGGTTGTGCAGTTTGTTCACATCATGCAAAGTAATCCTGGATTCCAGGCATCTGATTGGTTAAAAAGCGGGTAATAACTTCAACCATCACCCCTATGAGGTAAGTTGAATGATAGTTCATAAATTCCTGGAGAAAAAAGCACTGTCACGTTAAATGATAGTACTTTTCTAGGCGATAGCAATGCTCCACTTCCACCAATCAAATCAATGTTCTTGCTAGCAAATTATTGCTCTAAAAGTAAAATCACAACACAATACCACTTTATATTCTAGTACACATCATATCTACCACTTATTCAGAACTTTGTAAACCTTGTTTATTTGTTGAGAAGGATTCAACAAAATCTTCCAATTCTCTGAACTCAATATTAACTTTCTTCAACATGGCCGAGAGGAACTTTACTCCATGTTGGGATGTTATGGCTGACAAAAGAACTTCATTTTTACGACTCAACCTGTAAGGTAAAAAAATATCAAACTGAAATGATATATATATATATATATTTTATTCAATAAAAAATATATAAAAATAGTGGCAAAATAAAATTCCTTGGCATTCCTTACAGGAGAATTTACATCAATGAGATACCAACCAATGTCAAATAATAGAAAGATAACCGGCAAAGAGGCATTGTTGGAATTAATATACTAATGTGAGGACCCTCTAATTATTTACACAACTGTTAATGTTTAGTAAAAAGCTAACAACTTACTAAAATATACACAGTAACAAATTTCGATTATTGAATTTTATATTTCAATTAATTTATCTGAACATAGACAACATATCCTTAGAATAACAATTGAAGATAATAAATTATAAGATTGGATTTTTATTGATAAAAATATCGACAAGTAGGTTTACGCAAACGATCAATGGATAAAGAACATTCCATTGGGGAAATAAAAAACACAATACAACAGCAGTGGCAAAATAAAATTCCTTGGCATTCCTTACAGGAGAATTTACATCAATGAGATACCAACCAATGTCAAATTATAGAAAGATAACCGGCAAAGAGGCATTGTTGGAATTAATATACTAATGTGAGGACCCTCTAATTATTTACACAACTGTTAATGTTTAGTAAAAAGCTAACAACTTACTAAAATATACACAGTAACCAATTTCAATTATTGAATTTTATATTTCAATTAATTTATCTGAACATAGACAACATATTCTTAGAATAACAATTGAAGATAATAAATTATAAGATTGGATTTTTATTGATAAAAATATCGACAAGTAGGTTTACGCAAACGATCAATGGATAAAGAACATTCCATTGGGGAAATAAAAAACACAATACAACAGCGAAATGCATGATCACTGTGTAACCAGAGGGTTTAATGACGCACACATAATCGCTGATCAATCACTGGTTCAATTAAGAATTAAGACTGATCTTGTTAATTAACTTTTGGTAATGTAATCTAGACGAATCTTTGAAAATGATCACCATAGTTTGTAAACATTTAAGTCTTTTGGGATTGCTGAAAATGTATAAGTATCCAGGACACACAAAAAAAAACAACATTGTTCATGTGAAAAAAGAAATGACACTGGACAATGCTGAAAAAAAGATGATGAGAAGATAATAAAGACACCCAGTATAATAATAATAATAAAAAAAAACAATAACAACAATAATAAGTAATACTAATAATAATTACCATTATTATCAATAATATCATTATTTTATCATCATTTTTACAATTATTATCATCATTATTATTTTCATATATATATTATCATTCAAAAAAGGAATGTTTAAATTAATAACTGTCTCATATTTTTCCTGTTTTTCTGGGTTTTTTTTTTAGTTTGATTGTCAAACTTCAATTTGTTTGCAAATTGTAATAAAGATTACTTAAAATTGAATTGAATAAATTATTATTATTATTACTATTATTATTATTATTATTATTATTATTATTATTCTCAATATTATTCAAATTATTACTATTATTATTACCATTATCATTATTAATAAAACAAATTTGTATATCCATAAACAGTTTGATGTACCCAATTAGATCAATACCTAACACATCTGGATTTCACCCCTTACATTAGTAGACACCAATTCTGCTAATTAAAGTTTTACCCCAGGATACACATAGCTAACAACTCAATCCTCAAATAGCCGAGCCAGTCCTCTTCTCCTTTTCTCATTAGAAACCAAAATCTATTTTACCGTATTCTTAGGCTTGAACAAAAAAAGGCCTCAGGTTTGTAGATATTATGCTAAGCCAATTGCAAGACGAGCAGTAATGAATTGACTGCCGTTATGATTAATAGGCAAGGCAAAATCATAACCACAACTTGTTCCAAATCCGCCCCTAAGGAATGGAGAAAATTAAGTCTTCGGAATAACGAGTGCGAGACCGCAGTGCTCGGCAGTGCGTGACCAATTTAGTAACGAAGCGAGAGAGTAGAAGGGAAAGATCGCCTTAGATTCATCAAACATCCTCTCATAGGACGAAAATGAGAAATTATTGTCATCTGACTAGAATAATGTTGTTTTAATCTATTTTTCTTGAGTATTTACTAAATCTCAGTGGAAGATAATAACAATATTAATTTTGAAATAGTTTAAAGAGATGAAAGTATATAAAGAATGTTAAAAACCAAAATAATCCATTAGTGAATGTTGATAGGTTTGACAAAACCTTGAGCAGTTAAAACAAAAAAGTGACATTAAACTATTCAATATAGATTCTCAAGGCCAGCAGATGTTTGCATACATAAAAAAAACGTAGGGAGATATTTTGAGCTCTTCTTTGAGATGACATTTATGTTGAATAACTTATGTGACATTTGTTTCCAATAGTCATTAAGATATATTATTAATTATTATTATTATTTGTGATTCTGAGACATATTCTTATATACATTTGATATACATGTAAATGTCATTCAGATTTAATATTTATAAATTATTATTTAATGCTGGAAATGATATGATATTTGATTTGAATACATTGCATTATATTCATTGCAATATTTTTTTTTCAAATTTTATATTAATAAATCTGTAATGTTGAAGATATTATATCCCAAGTTGATATTTGAGTTTAATATCTTGTGTGATATCCGTTTGCAGAAGTCTTTCACAATCTATATCAATTCTTATTTGTAATTCTGAAATCAAAAAAATGCTACGCTCTGAAAAATCCTGCCTCAAATCAAATAGGCTTAAGTTATATACTTCTTTATTAATATATGAATAAGCGTCACTGTTCAATCCCAATCCCCAACACAATATCCTGAAATGACCAAAGAGGCTATTAACCATTCATCTACATACAATATTTAGCTGGTTTAACATCACTATCAGAGAGTTTTTCATTTCGTAATTCACAGCTGTAGAACAAACCTGTGAAAATTCTGTATTCGATTTGAGCTAAATTGACTCGCATTGTTTTTAACGATTGCCCAACGTGACACGATTTGTGTCAGTTTCGGTGTGTAGGACAAGATAATTGTCTTCATTAGTTGGTCTTTTTGCATCGCCTATAATATGAATTCTCTGAGAAGCTGACTGTCGATAGTCAAGTATACGAGCTGGTCTATCGAATAGGTGTCTCGTTGATCCGTGATGTGTCAAATATGATTCAAACGCAAGTGAATTATGCAAAAGCATTAAATCCAGATTGCAATTGAGAGGCAGCAAATTACGCCAATAAAAATGAATGAATAAAACCAATCTTAACACTATACAATGAATATGCTGATAAAAGGCTTAGGGTGTTGCCAAGGAACACAATATGAAACCTACAAACAATACCTTATACAATATTAATAATATAATATATAAAAGGAAAAGTGCAAACTAATATCTTGGTAGTTGTTTTTTTTTTTTTTTTTACCTGATGGTGATTTAATCTACTGATTTCTTTTAATCCCACTTCTAATTTTGCTGTAGAGCTAAAAAATAACTATATATAACACTATATGAGAAAATTACATATTTAATTTGAATTCAATTAATAATGCTTTTTAAATACAAATACATTTTAAAAAATTAAAAATTATAATCTGTCTATTTGTAACAGAAGTCATGAATATTATGCAATTAGGTTTATAAAATTCATTGAAAAAACACAAATGTATATGCCAAAGATTTATAATCTAACCAATAATAGAGATACACTGTCCAGTTTTCCCATCCCTTCTATCTAGGCAAGCCAGTGGGGTCAAGTGGCAGGCCCCACATGGGTTCTGGTCAAGGTACATGTGTCTTGATGATACATGTCTTGTTGGTAACATTTATGATGAAAACATTCTTAATATTTACCATATTTATTCAAATATATGCCCCACTTTAAATACCCCCTTTTGAATGAACACCAACCCCCCCCCCCAAATTTAATGGAAACAACATCATTCTCAACACATTAGTGTTCTACTCCAGTAGAATTACATATTTCTAACATGGTTAGTCTTTATGATCAGGCAATAACACATTTTCACAGTACGAGTGGATCCACACTTACATTGAAATTAAGGGGCGTTTATTTGAGCACTATAGATATCCATTTTAGGCCAAAAAAAAAAAAACATACATGCCCACTCCAATTAACACTCCCTCAAAACCCCTGGGCATTTATTCAAATAAATACAGTATGAAAACGTGAAGAACCTTACTAATTGGCACAATAATAATTCTCTTGAATTAAACAATACAGCATTTACACATAGTAATATCATAATTTATAACGATATGACAGATTCTGTGACAAAGTTCAAATTCTTCAGTACGATCATTATGATCACCAGTTAAAATTGACATAGCAATGCTCACCACCTCTATTAAAGAGAGTAAGTAAAGATTGTACCTTATTAGAAGAAAGACAGCAATATTCTTATTATGTTCTGTAGTGCTGTAATATTTATTGCTGTCTCCTATGCTATAGTACAGTATGGTGTAGTAGCCTTACAAAGATTTAAGGAGAGACAACAAACAAGTACTGGTATGTAAAATTATAAAAACAATTAATTTTGAACTTGTACTCCAATGATGAACTGGCATTAAGAAACTTTTAAGCAAAACCCCTCTGATCATCTGAAAAATAAAACTAACGACTTCCTCCTTTGGATTAAGTACAAGACAAAAAAGCACAAAACTGCATGTGGAAAACCCCAAATAAGACACATTCAATTTAATTACTGAATTGATTCTTTAAACAGATTAAATCATTTTTAATTTGACACAGGTTGGAGCATTTTCAATTTACACTGATTTCTTGTTTTCTGTTACAAAAATCTTTCAATTATCAGATGCATAAACTCCGTGCCTTGATTAAGACATCGACAATGAGAAAAATTCAATGATTTTTTTACCTAGCCATCTAAAATCTCTTTTATCTGACACCTAAAGTGAGGACACTTCAAGGTAGTAATCAAGCAGGCATTGAGACAGCAAGATGATGGTACAGCCAAGTTGCT